CTGCAGCTGTTATAATCTCTAGGTCGCCAGTCTGGGGCAGAGGATAGAGCTCAGTACAGTGGTCTGCCTAGCAGTCCTGAGGACCTAGGTTCAGCTCTGAGCGCCACAGGAAGCCAGCTGTGGTGTGCACCTCTATGATCTTAGCCCTCCGAAAATGAAGGAGGGAGTTCAAGGTCGCTGTCAGCCACACAGTGAGTCTGAGGCCAGTGTAGGTTACCTGAGCTCCCATCTCAAGACCGTCAAATCACAAATCTGTTCACCGCTGCACCCCCTCCACCTCTTCAAGGGCTTTCCCACGGAACTTGGGTCATCCTGGTTCCTTAACATGTTCTGCTAGGTCTTTGCGTGGTCTGTTTTGGGTTTGCTCTCCACATCCCAGACAGACGCGTTTTCATTCATTCAGCTCCTAGCGCACCCTGTCCAGCCCCTGAGGCTCTGCAAATATTGCTTTCCACGCCCCCGCTGCCCTTTACACGAACAGTGTTGCTGCGTGTTCTTGCCGCCAGAAGCCTGTGCTGTTGGGGGCTCTCAAAGTAAAAGACATCACTTACTGCACTTCCTTCCACTGTGCCTCGACGCCAAGGTTCTTCAAGGTTCTTCACCGGAGGGCAGGCCCCGGTGAAGCCAGACCAGGTGGATGGCGCTGCCCGTTTCCGTTTTCGCTGGGTGACCCCGTGCCAAAGGCAATCCCAGTGACCAGCTTACCTGGACTAATTTCTTGAAGCTCGAGAAATGCCCATCCAGCAGTCCCCTAGTCTCCACCCCTGGCTCTTTACTGTCCCCAAGTGTCCAACGATAGACCACAGAGTTCTTGCTTATTTAATACCAGATAGACAGACTCTGGCTGCGCTCCTGGAGGCTTGCTCTGTCCACGGACTCACTGCTGGCTAGTACCCACCTCCTTCTCTGGTCACATCCCCTTGCTTGTACCACAGTGTGTGTGTGTGTGTGTGTGTGTGTGTGTGTGTGTGTGTGTGTGTGTATGTGTATGCACATGAGAGAGAGAGATGCCAGTGGCAATTTGGGGGGAAGCATACACTGGGGCTAGTGCAGTAGAGAGCAGAGCAGTCCTGTCCCGTCAAGCCTCCTGCTGCCTGCCTGCCGTCCCTGCAATGGCGCCCCCTTCTGGCCCCCCGGGCACAGACTGAAAGCAACAGTCATGTTCTGTGATACACACTCCTGCCAAATTGGAGAGAAAGGGGGAGAGAGTGGGAAAGGAAGGAGGAAAGAGAAAGAAACTAATGATGTCAAGCTAGTGTCCTTCATTGGCCTGACGACAAGAACTTTGTAACTCTGAGTGGCTGGACAAGCCAGTCCAGTCCTTGAGCTGCATGAAGGAGCAGCCAACCTATCTACAAGCCCAGTCCTCTGAAAACTGTCTACTAAGGAAACATCTTTTGTTTTTAAAATGAAAAAGCTGCATGGTTTATTTTAATTACCACTTTTGATTTATTTGTATTTTATGTACATTGGTGTTCTGTTGGCATGTATCCCTGTCTGTGTGAGGGTGTCAGATCCCCTGGAACTGGAGTAACAGACAGTTGTGAGCTGCCATGTGGGTGCTGGGAACTGCTGGGAATCGAACCTGGATCCTCTGCAAAAGCAGCCAGTGCTCTTAACTACTGAGCCATCTCTCCAGCTCCCAAGGGGAAAAAAAAAATGAATCCCAGTAGTCAGGAGGCAGGCAGATCTCGAGTCTGAGGCCATCTATAGAGTGAGTTCTAGGACAGCCAGGCCTACTACACAGAGAAACCTTGTCTCAAAAAACCAAGAAGATCTATGCCAGGGGCTGGAGAGATGGCTCAGTGGTTAAGAGCACTGGCTGCTCTCCAAAGGACCCAGGGCTCAGTTTCCAGCACACATATGGTGCCTTAAAACAGCCCGGCAACTCGTTGTAGGGAGTCCACCACCTTCTGGCCTCCAAGGGCACCGCACTCGTGGGGCACAGACACACACGCAGGTAAAAACACCTACATATGGGCTGGGCGATGGCAGCACACACCTTTAATCCTAGCGCTCTGGAGGAAGATGCAGGAGGATCTCTGTGAGTCCAAGGCCAGTCTGGTCTACAGAGTTCCAGGATAGTCAGGAATACACAGAGAAACCGTCAGGGAGGGAAACAAACAAACCAAACTGGGATTGAATTGCTTACTGGGCAAAGGCTCTTGCCTCTAAGCCAACCTCTGCAACTTGTCCTCTGACATTCACTTGAATGCTATGGCATTTGTGCCTCCCCACCCACCCCGAGAGAGACTGTAAATAAAATTAAGATATTTAAAATTGATGCCAGTTTTCAGCTCTCATAGTCACTCATAGTTCAACACAGACTTACTGGTCACTTTGTCGGTATCAGGCACTGGTAGAACACACAGAACAGTTCCCGGGATCAAGGGGTTTGCCCCATGCTGGGGAGGCGATCTTTGACTGAAGCAGCATTGTTCCAGGCAGGACTGCAATGGTGACTTGGGCTGAGGGGTCTGTGCTGTTGTGACAGCACAGGGTTTGGCTAGAAATCTGTAAAGGAGATAGGACAGGACTTGCTTATGAGGTTTCGGTGCTTTAAGATTCCGGTGTGAGTCGGGCATGGTGGCACACACCTGTAATCCCTGCACTCTGGGAGGCAGAGGCAGCTGGATCGCCTTGAGTTTGGCTTCAGTTGAGAGGTGGATATGATAAAGATGCTGCGTCAAGCTGACGGCATAGGGTGGGAAGGCTGGACAGAGGGAAATGAGACGGCTGGGGAGCGCTTCTTCATCTTGATGTCTGGCAGTCAACAGCAAGATGTGGGGGAGGGCATGATCAGGTGCAGGCTCTTGAATGTGTGGAGGGGCAAATTTTGAAGACAAAACCCAAGATAAGATGTAATGGGTAAATCCAGGGTGGCCAGACACAACCCAGGAGAATGCAAAATACTTTGGTGGAAAGCAAAGCAGGGACATTTGAATAAGTGAAGCGTGGTGATGCAAACCAGAAATAAGGCCAAGTCTCAAAATGCAGGCTGGCACCACAGCCAAGCTGGCTGCATGAGCTCTCCTTTATTTCTGCATCAAGTATACAGTAAGGCTGGCCTCGAACCCAGAGGACTGCCTGCCTCTTCCTCCGCCACACCTGACTTTTAACTGGCTTATGTTTTTTAAAAGCCCCTGACCTCTACAGATACATGCCAGCCCCTAGGCATGATGGCACACGCTGTAATCTCGGCACTCCAAAAGGCAGGAGGAGGTGGATCTCTGTGAATGCAAGGCCAGCCTGGTCTACAAAGAGTCCAGGACAGAAACCCTGTCTCAGAAAAGCAAAACAAAAGATATATGCTGAAACATTTATGGCCAAAGAACTAGCATTTGCTGCAAAATGGTGGAGGCGGGAAGGTGTGGGCCATACACGTGGCCTTTCCTGGAGCTCCGTGATGAGCTATGGGTGCTCACTGGAATGCTCACATCTACTTTGCTTACTTGAAATTTTCCATTAACAAAAAGCTCCTTAAATATCACAGATTCACTGACTGGATTGATGGCACATGACTGGCTGCACATGGTAACAGGTGTGTGTGTGTGTATGCGGGCGCATGCATGCACACACACAAACACATACACACGCCCTGGCACTTATGTTTAAGTCATCAGACAACTTTGGACAGTTGGTTTTCCCCTTTCAGTATGTGGGTTCCAGGGATTGAACTCAAAGCCATTAGGCTTGGCGGTAAATACCTTTACCCACTAAGCCAGCAGTTCTCAACCTGTGGGTCGTGACCTTCTTGAGGGTCAAATGATCCCTTCACAGGGGTCGTTCACAGGGATCATCACAAAACACAGGTATCTAAATTATGCTTTCTAACAGCAAAAAAATTACAGTCATAAAGCAGCACCGAGGGCAGGCTTACAGTTGGTGGTCAACACGGGAAACTGGTCAAGGGCTGCAGCCTGGGACTAGAGCCAGTGCGCTGAGCCACCTTGCCAGCTCAGGTCTAACTATATTTTTACATTTATAATATAAACATTTACACTACACATACATATATATTCATTTATGAGACAGTATGTCCTGGTTAGCCTGGAACTCGCTATGCAGATCAGGCTGCCCCTGAATTTCCAATGATCCACCTGCCTCTGCCTCCTAAGTGCTGGGGTTAAAGGTATGTGCTAGCACCACTGGCAAAATATATATACGCTTGTACATCATCAAAGGGAATGTTCACATGTCCAAAACAGCACATAGGGGCTGGAGGGGTGGCTCAGAGCTTAAGAGCACTGTCTGCTCTTCCAGAGGTCCTGAGTTCAATTTCCAGCAACCACATGGTGGCTCCCGACCATCTATCCTGGGATCTGATGGCCTCTTCTCACATGCATGTGCACTTGCAGATAGGAAACTCACACACATAATATAAATAAATAAATCTCTTAAAAAAAAAATGATACTTAGAAGATCAGACCCCAGGTAGAAGACTGGATTTAAAGATTACTCTCAGCTACATGAGTTCAAGGCCAGCCAGGATAACAGAAGAGTCTCAGAAACACAAACAAAAATTTTAAAACTATTCTGCTTAGGAAACCTTGTTTGCAAAGCTAAAAGGAAAAAGACCTGACCTATGCCCACATCTGTTCCTTTTGGGGTACTGGAGGGAGATCAAATTCAGGGAACCTGCACATAGCAAACAAGTCTCTACCACTCAGATGTACACACAACTGTGACTGAACACCATTTCAGCTCTTTTGGGGATGCCACTTCTGCAGAAGCACAAGTATTCCACCTCCCCCCAAACCCTGACATTTCAGAAATCCCAAACGCCCATCTGTTTTTATAGAAACTCATTCCATCATGATGTAGAGCTTCCCAGGAATATGTGAGTAGAAAGCAAGGGATGATGGGAGATGGCTGTCAACAAAACCAGCCACTTTCCAGGAAACGTGACCTGGGGCCAAAGGATGATCAAAAGCAGGTGTGGCTGGGTGGGTAAAGCGCCTTGCTGTCCCCCTTTCAAGTTGCAACAAATCATAGGCAGCTTATCCTTAAACTTTGCTTTATTCACTGGAAAACGCTTCTCAAGTACCTTTCTTCATTTTTATGAAAAATTACCCAGCTCCTGTTAAGCTTGGTAGTATACGCCAAGTAGCTATTATCCCAATGCAGTTAAGTGTACAATCTCCACTGGGGCACTGCCAGTAGTTGGCACCATCACTGATCAAGGAACAAGAATGAATGAGTGGCTGGGCAGTGGTGGCACACACCTTTAATCCCAGCACTTGGAAGGCAGAGGCAAGCAGATTGCTGAGTACGAGGCCAGCCGGGTCTACAAAGTGAGTTCTAGGACAATCAGGGCTACAAAGAGAAACCCTGCCTTGAGAAAAAAGAATGAATGACAAGAGGTAGTATTCCAATAAGCTAAGGGTCTGCTGTAGGAAGGAAGGTGCCAATGGCTGCTGAATTAGGAGAGAATCAGAAACGTATCTGAGGTAGGCATAGCTCAGCCCCTCAGCATGGCCAGAAGCAAGTCTGTAACAAGTAGCAGAGCACGCCCGAAAAGGAATCCAGAAAGCTGCTCTTTTTAATGAGAGCACTGAGGTTGGGAGGGGCTGGTGTACGCCAGACCAGTGCCAACCACAGTTGCACTCACCGGCAGCTGAAGCTTAGAGAATCTTGAGTTCAGGGCCAGCCTGGGCTACAGATTGAAAGCCTGTCTCAAAAAGCCAAAGAAAGAAAAGGGGACATAAAACCTCATTCAGAGCTCAAAATGAGAGAGGGGAGAAGGTGGTGATGACCACTGGGAAGGGGCACTACAGAACGCCGCCCACCCCTGCTGTGTCAGCTGTCCTTGGAGCCTGAGGCTGCCTGTGGAGATTCGTGTTAAACTCAGGAACCGAGAGCAGCTGCTGCAAAGGCAAGGCTGAAGTGAGCAGATCTTCCCAGCATCTTGGTTCTTGTCTAAGATGCTTTTGGAAATCACATGGCGACACTCCTGAAGGCAGCGGAGAAAGCTGTGGGCCAGGGTGCTCATGCAGCCTCCTCCTGGGTCCAGCTCCAAGCATTGATGAACAGCTGCAGCCAGGGGGAGGTGGCAAGAACATCGAAGGGAGAGGGTCGCCATGCCCACTGCCAGAGCCTCACAGCCCGCTCAGGGTGTGGCATGAGTGCCAGATGGCGGCCATCTTGGGAGCAGACGCCAGCTATGCCCCCTGGAGACCCATTGGGGTTCAAGGGGTACTGCTCTGTGGGATTGCCATCATCGTCTGCCCAGTGCAGAGGAACCAAACCCCTGGCCTTGACCTTTGCTTGGAGTTCAGGAGAGGAAAACGCCATGTAACCTGGGGGTAAAGGAGATAGGATGTGAAAGCCAAGCTTCTTCAGGCCAGACCCAGCCCTCAAACCCTGTCCTGCCCCAGCCTGACCTTCTCCATGGGCACTCCACACAGGCAGCACCGAGCCCTCCATCCCTCGAAGCATCACAGCGGGCCCGGGCTCCACCCGCACGGTGGCCCACCGGGACTCGTATCGCCCAGACAGATTGTGGCGGAGCAGGAGGCCTGGCTGTACTGGTTGGCAGTCGTGGCCTGACTCATCTTGCTCTTCACTGGGGTCACCTCCCACCCAGCCCAGAAGAGCCAGCAGCTGACAGCCATTGCACACGCCGAGGCTGAAGGTGTCTGGCCGCCTACGGAATCGGCCCAGCTCTTGCCTGGCCTGTGGATTGAAGGTCACGGCAGCTGCCCAGCCTAGGAAGAGCAGGCAGGTCAGAGAAAGGTGTAGAAGGCCAGAGAAAAGCAGAAGCAGGAGATGAAGGAAGGCAACAGCCTTCTACTCTAGCGATCAGGTCCTCTCCACAGGCCCTGGGACAAATTTGAGGGAAGAAAGAACTCTATCTGCTTCAGTCAGATAGCCTGACAGGAGATCCATGAATTTCTTTATGTTAAGCCACAATATTTTTTAAAAGATTTATGTAGTTATCTGAGATTCAATAGTGAGATTTCAGTTGAGTGTGGGTAGCTTACACCTGTAAATCTCAATACTTGAAAGGCCAAACGAGGGAGATGGTTTCTAGGGCCACTTTGTGAGTTTGAACAGCCTAGGCTTTGTGAAAGCCTAACTCATCATCATCATGAAAAAAAAAAAAAAAAAAAAGATTTCACACACAGAAGCCTGAACTTTTGGCTTCTTGTAATTAGAAGATATGGTTGTGCTAAAACCATCTTCTCACAGAACAGGACCATGTGAACAAGCTGAAGAGCAGCCAACTGTCAGGATGAGACAGGCCCTCTAGGCCTGCACAGCTCTGGGAAGCCAGCCACCTCATTTCAGATATCCTTGGCGCTTCTGCTGGCCTCTGGTCCTAAACCAAGCTCTCTGCTTGGCTTTGTGGGGGTGGCAAGCCGGCCCCAGCCTGGGCAGAAGGAGCCCAGGAGTGTGGAAGTGAGCACACAGTGGCCTGCACACTGACCTTTGGCAGAGCCCAGGACGTCTGCATAGCTGAAGCCGCCGACAAAGGCCACACCTCGGAATGTGTCCAGCGTGATGGCCCCAGAGCAGAGATCCTGCATGGTCACATCCCACACCTAACAGGACAGGGAGCAAACTGTCAGGTGACACACAGCCAAGGTGAGAATAAGATCGCCAGCTCTGCGAGCCATCAGTATTTACCTCAAACCCAGCCAAGTGAAAGGCATCCGCCATTTCCCGGTCTCCATTACTGCCCTCTTCTCGCAAGATAGCCACTCGGGGGATGGGGCCAGCTGGAAGACAGGCCTCGGTAGAAGACTACCCATCCGCCCCAAAACCCCAAATACCTTCCCCAGGGAAGGGCCAAGCATACCACCTCTGCACACGCACTTACGATGGTTACGGGGCACAGTGGCCACCGGAAAGGTGGGTGGCAGGCAGTAGCTGGGTCCTGTCCGCTCCTTCAGGCCCTGCTTCTCCTGTGTCACACAGCGTGGCTCTGCCTGCAGCAGGTCCAGCTGGAAACTCGTTTCCTCCCAGAGGTCTCTTAACTGTCCAACGGGCTCCTCCAGAACTACAGCCCCATTCACAGACACTCGGACCTGGAGAGGGGAAAGGGATGAAGGGGAAAGGGAGAGAAGGCGCCCATGAAAGTTGTAGAGCGGTATTTGCTGACAGGCTCACATAACACTATATTCTCCTTGGCTTCCTCACCGTGGCCTGAGGCCCAGCCGTGCCTGTGTGGCCCAGTTCCAGACAGTGTAGGCCAGCACCGCGGTACCGCTGCAGCACCCCGGCTACATCTGCCTCCTGTACCTCCAACACCAGGCCTGGCTCCTCGGCAAACAGCACCGGCAGCGCTGGAAGGAGAGTGGGGCTGAGTGAGGACGGCTGGATGCCACCAGGACTCAGGTGGACGGAGTCTGCAGGAGGCCACGGAAGTTGCAGAAACTGTGAGTGCTCTTAGAAGAACATAATTCAGAACATGACAGCAATGGAGGATTCAGCTAAGACTCAGGAGGAAGGGTCAGAGACACAGCATTCTTTATACCAGAAGGTCCACAAGTAAAGAAGGCAGCCCAGGCCTTACACCCCAAGCTCCTCACCCTGGATCCCGGGGGCAGGCACATCCACCTCTATCCCACAATTCCCAGCAAAGGCCATCTCTAGCAGGCAGGTGACAAGCCCTCCATCGCTGACATCATGGCCTGAGCAAATACGGCGGTCTGGAGGAACAGAGATTTCATCCATCTTAGGCTAAGCTTCATAGCTCCACAGCATCTGGTGAGCCAGTGAGTGAGAAGGCAGGCTCTCCCAGAAGAGCCTGACCTGACCCTTAGGTACCCCAGACTCACTGTTGAGGTAGGTGCCTGCCATATGTCTGCTACCACGTACCAGGGGACCACTCACCTTTCAGCAGCCCTTGGGTGATGTGAAAGGCACGCACGAGGTTCTCTGGAAGATCTAGGTCAGGAGGGTGCTCCCCAAGCTGGGAGAAACACTGGGCCAGAGCTGTGCCTCCCAGCCGGTGCTGCCCAGGGCTCAGAGGCACATAGAGCAGATGACCTAAGGAAACAAGGGAGGGGAGAGCAGCTCAAGACCCTGTCTCAAAGCGTTCCCAGCACTGCCAACCGCAGCACACAGTAAGACACCCCCAACTGTCCTAGAAAGCAACACAGCTCAGGGCTGTGATAAGGGGGACCAAGACTCATAACGTAGACCTCAGACTAAGGAGCAAGCTCAGAAGATACACACAAGGAGCAGGAGATGAAGCCATACCTCTCCCTCCGGGGCGCTTGAGGTCTGGGGTCACAGTGGCTGTGATGTCTGGACAGACAGCATACGCTGAAATGACCAGTGACCCTACCAAGCAAGGAGAAATAAGCGAATGAGGTGCCAGCCAGCCCCACAGTGCTTCTCCCTCACAAGGGCCTCATCCTTACCAGGAGCCTGCACGGTCTCAGTGCCAACCCGGGCAGCCATGCTGAGGGAATCCTTGCCACCGTCTACGGCCACGCCGAGTGCTGCCATCACTGTCACCATAGCCTCACAGGCATCGGCCAGTGCTGCACCCTCACCTGGGAGCTTGGCTGCCCACATCCAGTTCCCACTACACTTTACATCCTGGCAACAGTGGGGACATGGACTTGGCATTAGAGAGAGAAGGCGAGGCAGAGCCTGGGAGTTTATGTGCAGAAAATAATGGGAAAGAAGGAGAATGACTGATGGGTGCAGAGGCCTACAACTGCAGGACAGGAGCTACGAAGGACTCACTCGGAGGTCAGTGACCAGAGCGAACACCAGGTTGGTGAGGGCTTCAGACACAGCTAGCCTGGCAGCAACCTTGGGGTCCAGCAGGCTCTTGACTGGCTGTTCTCCCAGGGCTGTGGCGGCCCCTACGAGCTCCTGATGGCTCAGTGCCACAACAGCCACATCAGCCAGAGGGGTCTGCAGCGGCCCGACACACTGCTGTTGGGCCACGAGGCCACCCACAGAGCGATCCACCTATGGAAGCAGATGCAAATGGAAAGAAGGCAAGGGTCAAAGGGGGCTGGCTATGCTCTGAACGGCGAGCAAGAACACACAGAAAGGGGGGGGGGGCAGGGGCAACAGGCCATCAAGAACGGCCTGTTCTCCACCCCACCCCCCATTCTCAGAGCCCAGGGAACCCCAACGGGGAAGAGGACCAGAATGCATGACAGAGAACAATGCAGAAGGCTGAGAAGCCAAGCAGGCTGCAAGGAGGACCTTGTTGGTGAGGTAGCGCTTGCTGGCCACAGCCGGCAGCCTCAGAACCCGGTCCAGAGCCTGGCGCACGCTCAGCTCTGGGGGCAAGGCCAAAGGCTGCAGCACAGGGGGTTTCCTCTGGAGGAAGAACTCCTGAAAGAGAAGAGTGGTCAAATGTAAGCACCTGGGAAGGCTTGACAAACAAGCCAGGAAAAACTAATATGACAGAAAGGCCACTGGCAAACACTCCCCAGCCCTGGCTCACGTACCTTTTGAGGCATCTTTCCCAGAACCCAGTCAAGGTCCAGGTCCACAGGGGTTGGAGGAGGTGTCAGGGGGGCATCTCCCTGGCCACTTTTTCCCACCGGGCACTCACGATCATCCACTAGCATAATCTGTGGACCCCAGGGACAGCCCCCAAAGAAAATGAGACCTTGACCACCAGCAGGATGTGCCTGGAGGGCAGGAAATGCTTCCATCCTGGATGTGGAGCTTCTCTGAGGAGCTCCTCCCTCCCTAACTGTTCCCCATTCCTGTGCCCACTTCCCATTTGAGCTCATTTGCTCCCTCAGCATTTCTCCCCCAAGCCCATGTACTATGAGCACATAGCACCTGCTCTGCATTGCTGGGGCCAACTTACTCTCTTATCTCCAGTGATTGTGCCTACAAAACAAACTGGGCAGCGTTCGCGGGCACTGACACGGCTCAGGAATTCCCGGTCAGAGGGTCTCAGCAGAAGTGCATTTGACTCCTGGTACTCAGCCCCCCAGATTTCCAGCGCATTCAAGGTTGGGTCCCCCAGCTGCAGACAGGCAGTTAAGAAAAAGGGTCAGTGGGCCCTGCCTCACCACACAGTGATGCTAGGAATGGGGGAGGGAGGGTGGCTTCAGGGAGACCTATGGACCTGGAAGCGGCTGGTATAAATGATGGCTCCTGCTGGCTCACTCAGCTCCTTTAGGACATTGCCTGGTGAGAGAATGAGGAAGAGGTGTCAACCTGGTCATGGTCAGCCCCAGGAGAGCAAAGGGAATTTCTGGTCTGCAGAGTAGCACCTAACCCTGGGTGACGCTGCCAGAGCTGCCGCTTCACACTTAATGCCTAGCCACCCCCCCGAGGGTGGAGCCGAGGACGTGGAGAAGACGGCAGAGCTGGTGGGGGGATGCAAATCCTCAATGCTTCTCCCTAAACTGAGTCTGGCCAAAGACGACTAGACCCGGGCCAGTGTCCTGACCCCCCTCACCATTGCCACCAGCACCCTGGTCGTGGAGGCTGCAGATGGGGTTTCCTCCTGGGGCTTCCACACAAGCTCGGATCACACGGTTCATCTTCTGCTCCATTTCTGGGTCTCCACGTTGCACGGCTCCAAAGTCCAGGTCGCTGGTGTTGTCTCCCTGAACCTGAGGAAACATGGGGCACAGCTCACCTCAGGCAGTCTGGGAAGCTCCATCAACACTGACAGCACAGAGGCCTGTGGTGTCCAAGCTGCCTCCTTAACTACCCTCACTTACCTGCACAGACGAAGCAGCTCCACCCCCAACTCCAATCCTGTAGACAGGACCCCCAACCTTTACAACCTCCATGCCTGCAAGGAAGGAAGGATGAACCAGAACCCAGGGAAGCAGCACAAAAGGCCATTAAAGCTAGGCACCATGAACACAGGAGAAGTTGATGTGAGGGAACAGGACCCCAGCGATCCACTAGGTGGGACCATACAACCTACGGAAAACAACGTGACAATAACCCGTATACAGACGGGGCTGGAGACATGGCTCAGTGCTCATGAGCACGGGCTGCTCTTCCTGAAGACCTCGATTCAGTTCTAAGCACCCACAGGGCAACACACAACTGCTTCTAACTCCAGTTCTGGGGGTCTGATGCCCTCCTCTGGCCGTGGTGGGCACTGGTGCACTTACACACAGGGAGGCAAAAACCAGTCATACACATAAAGTAAAGACAAACAACTTGCTTTTTAAAATTAGCAACCCCTATTCTCTAATGGGGAAGATACGTCAGGAAATTCACCTATAGTTTTATCCATGGGCACAGAATCATCTATGTACAACAGTAAAGACTGAGTTAGTTGTCTTAGCTAATACAAGGCCTGTGCACAGACTGCCAGGCAATACTGTTAGGACGGCAATATTCCCCACAACTTATCTGTAGGCTCAACAGTGCCCATCAAAGTCTTTGCTGACCGATGGGTGTGGTGGCGCACGCCTATGATTAAACCCAGCACTCATGGAGGCAGAGGCAGGAGGACCTCTGTGAGTTCAAGGCCCACCTGGTCTATAAATGTGAGTCCAGGACAGCCAAAGCTACACAGAAAAACCCTGTCTTGAAAAGCCAAACAAAACAAAGCAAACAAAAAAGCAAAAGCAAAAAAACCCACAAAAACAAAGGCTTGGAAAGATGGCTCAGTGGTTGAGAGCACTGTCTACTCTTCCAGAGGTCCTGAGTTCAATTTCAGGCAACCACAAGGTGGCTCCCAACCATCTACACTGGGATCCGATGCCCTGTTCTGGCATTCAGGTGTATATGCAGATAGAGTGCTCATATACATTAAAAAAAAAAAAAAAAAAAAGTCTTTGTGTCTTTACTTCCTTTCTCAAAAATTGGGATAACTTGATCCTAAAATTCCTAATATAAAGCTTAAACCACTCATAACAACCTCTTTTTTAATTATTAAAAAAAGAATTCATCAGGCTGAAGAGATGGCTTAGCAGTCAAGATCACTGTCTGCTCTTCAAAAGGACCCAGGGTTCAATTCCCAGCACCCACCCTCACAACTGTCTATAATGTCAGTTCCAAGGGATCTGACACCTCCACACTAATGCACATAAATAAAATTAATAACTTAAAAAAAAAAAGAATGTATCACCAGGCAGTGGTGGTGCACGCCTGCCTTTAGTCCCAGCTCTCAAAAAAATACAAAAGAAAGAAAAAGAGAAAAGGAAGGGAGGGAGAGAGGGAGGGAGGGAGGAAGGAAGGAAGGAAGAAAAGGTGTGTGTGTGTGTGTGTGTCTGTGCGCGCGCGCGCATGTGAATACAAGTGCCCACAGAAGGCAAAGATGTCAGAAGCCTGGAGCTGGATTTGCAGGCCGTCATGAGCCTCCCGACATAGGCGCAAGGGAACCAAACCCAGGTCCTTTGCAAAAATAATACACTCTCTCCAGCCTACACAACAATCTTGGTAAGAACAAAACTGAAAAGCTACCCTCTGCGTTTATTTGTGGTTCTGGGGACACACCCAGAGCTTTGTGTACCATTAGCCAAGTCCCCCCCCACTGAGCCACGTGCTCCTCGCCTTCCACTCCTAGAACTTACGACACAGCTTCAGTAATAACTGCAATGCAGCACTAGCATTAGGAGCAGATACGAACAACTGAACAGATACAACTGTCCAACTCAGAAGTGAACACATGTCTAGTCATATGACCTGGTGGGTGTAGCTAGACACTGAGCCCAAGGCCTTGCACATGCCAGGAAGGGGCTCTACTGCTCAGACACGTGCCCACCACTGCCAAACGAGCTTTCTTTCCTCCCTCCCACTTTGCTCTTTTGAAAAAATGGTCTTGTTTTGTAGCATATGCTAACCTCAAATCAAAGAACCATTCTACTTCAGGTTCCCAACTGCTATAATTATACATGTCACAATAATAGCTGCCAGTTGGCTGCCCAACCCTGAGTGAACCCAGGCCCTAGGCATGCCAGGCAAGTGCCATGCCATTGAGCTATATCCCTAGTCTCCGCCAACTGAATTCTGAATAGACTATGAAGACAATTCAACTAGAAAGAATTTTCTAAAGCAGACCGGTCAACCACGAGTGAAAGAATGAAGTTGGATGCCAACCTCATACAACATACAAAAACAAGCTCAAAATGTGTCTGAAGGCTTATCGCACAATATTCTTCCAAGGAATCTGAATCTGGTACTTGGCAGGCACATTAGGCAGCTCACAACCACCTGCAACTGGAGCTCCACGACATTCAGTGGCCTCTTCTGGCTTCCACAAGCACCCGTGTGCATACGGCACATACACAAACACACACATATTTTTAAATTAAGAACCATATTTATAAAGTCAGATGTGGGGTGTACACCTTTAACCCCAACACCACGGAGACAGAGGCAGGTATGATCTCATTGGGAGTTCTAAGCCAGCCTGGTCTGCATAGGGAATTCTAGCCAACGCTACATAGTGAGACCCTATCTCAAAAACAAAAAAAACAAAAAACAAAGAAAGTACTTGCTTTGGTAGCACATAGTGTAAAACTAGAAAAATCCATAGATTAGCATGGTCCTTGCACAAGGGTGACACGCGAATCTGTGGAGTGCTCTACGTTTTGCCATATACATATATGTGCACGGACGGATGCAACAATTGATAAAGAGGCCATGAATTTGAAAGAAAGCAAAGAGGGGTTTGGAAGGAGGAAAGGAAGGGAGAAATAATACAATTCTAGTAAAACCTCAAGAAATAAAAGTAATAAAAATATTAAGAATAAAGATGTTCTGGGCATGGTGGCGGGGGAGGGGAGGCAGGTGGATCTCTGAGTTCAGCACAGCCAGGACTACAGAGAAAACACCTGTCTCTAACCAAACCAACCCGTGGACCTGTGCACCTAAGCAGGAACAGCACAGGCAGCACCGAGGTGACTGGGTAACTGAGCACACTGTGTGCTGGAAGCATGGGCTCGGGAGCCAGAGGAAGGCGGGTCCCGTCCTAAGCTCACTTTGGGGGTCTGTGTGCATATCTGACAGGGCCCAGCCAGCACAGGCTGGCCTCAAGCCCATACAAAGCAAAGAACGACCTTGAACTTCTAATCCTCCAACTCCTGAGTGCTAGGATTACAGCCAAGTACCACATGGCCTAGTTTAGGCGGCTCTAAAGACCACACCCAAGGCTTTGGTGCATGGTAGCCAGGCTTAGCTCCAGCCCATCCTTTTGAGGCCTGAGCCACACGCCACTAAGCCACCTAGTCGGTCAACAGGACCTAGACCTTTCCCTTTTAAAGACTTAGTTATCATATTTTATGTGTATGAGTATTTATCTGCCTGAGAGTATGAATGTGCATGTGTGTACCTGTGTGACCACAGAGGTCAGATCCCTGGGATTGGAGTGACAGATGGCTGTGAGCCACCATGGTGTGCTGGGAATTAAGTATCGGTCTCTGGGAGAGCCTCAAATGCCCTTAAACTCGGAGCCATCTCTCCAACCCCTTCTTTTTTCTTAATTCTTTTTTTTTTTTTTCCTTAATGGTCTTTCAGAGACTGGGTCTCCCCATGTAGCCCTGGCTGTCCTAGAACTTGCTCTGTAGACCAGGCTGACCTTACAGAAATCACTATCTGTGCCTCCCAAGTGCTGGGATTAAAGGTGTACGCCACCACCTGGCTGTCATTAATTCTTAAATCCTGTGTGTGCTGAAGCATGCAGATACCTGGGTGGCAGTCAGGACAACCTCAGTTGTCAGTGTTCTCCTCCCATCATGAGTTCCAGACACTGAACTCGGGTCATCAGGCTTGCTTGCCAAGTGTCTTTACCCACTGGTCTGGGACTCTGACTTTAACCAAGGCCCTGAACACAGTACCCAGCACACAACTCTGTTGGGTGCGAAGGGTGGCGGCGCTTACCCGGCTCTGGGCGCCCTTTGCCCACATGCCTGTCTTCCATGGACCCAATGCCCCCACTGAACATGATGGGCTTGATCCACTCGCGCCGCTGGCCGCCTGGAAGCTGCAGACCCAGAGATCGGGCAAAGCCTGGGTGGAAGTGAAGAGCTTAGTCCCGCAGGATCTGCAGCACCACAGCCCCTGGGTCTCGCCACGCCCATGAGACCCTCCGCAGTGCCTGTTACGCCTTACACCCCGGCTCACCGGCCAGTACTGGCTCTCCAAACTTGTTGCCATAGTCAGATGCTCCATTACTGGCCTCAATAGCGACTTCCAAAGGCCTTGCAAAGTTTGCAGGGTACTGGAAGCTTGGATCCTCCCAGGGCAGAGAATAACCTGAGGTGGGAAGATACTCAATACAGTATAAAAATGGGAGGTAGCGCAGTAACCTAGCTATACACAGGCACTGGGTTTGATCCCCAGCAGTGAAAGAAAACAGTGGGAGACAGAGGACACACCTTCAGAGAAGGCTCTAGGCCACTGAAGCTGCCCACCCACGCGGCTGTGATTGAGGGGTGTAAAGCATGCAGTCGGCCACTGGCTTGCTGCCCATCTCCAATACCAGCCTTTCCTTGTCTCATCAGAGAACTTCTGTTACTTTTTTGAGGCAGACTCTATGTACCCTTGGTGGCCTGGAACTCACAGAGATAGCCCTGCTTTCTAGAGCGCTGGGATTAAAACCTTGTGTCACAGCAGAGCGCACTGATGCTACTTTTATCCTCTAGTAGTGCTAGTTATCCCCTGGAGCCTTTCGTATGCTAAGACCCGCACCACGCAGCCACACACACCGCAGCCCTTGAATCAGACTGCTTGAGAGCTCCCCATGATGTGTGTGCACTCGCATGTGCACGTTCCTATAGGGGACCATGGACACAAGAGGGGGATACTGCATCCTATGGAGCCAGAGCTGCAAGCCATTTTGAACCAGCAGATGCAGGTCTTAGGAACTTAACTCAGGTTCCCTCCAAGAAAAGCATAAATGGCTAGGCATGCATTCCCTTAATCCCAGCACTTCAGAGGTAGAAGCAAGTTGACCTTGTTCAATTCTAGGCTGTGCAGCGCAACTGTCTCAAAAAATAAAAATAAAAATAAAGGGTAGTCTGGCGCATGCCTGTCATCTCCGCACTTTGGAAGGCAGAACTCTGCTGAGTTCCAGGACAGCCAAGGCTACAAAGAGACACCCTGCCTCAAAATAAATTAAAGAAGGAAAAAGAGTAGTCTTTTCATCTCCCTTTTCAAAAATTTATTTTTATATACGTGTGTGTGTATGTATATGTGCACATGTGAGAGCAGGAAACCAGAGTTCAGGGGAGGGCATCAAGTCAGCCTCAAACTCTTCCAGACAGGGTTTCTCTGTGTAGCCTTTGCTGTCCTGAAACTCACTCTGTAGACCAGGCTGGCCTTGAACTTAAGACATCCACCTGCCTCTGCCTCCTGAGTGTTGGGATTAAATGTGTTACCACACCCAATATCTTCTTTTTAAAAAAGATCATCATTTTCTAAAATGATGTGGATATGTGGGTGCCTGCAGAGGCCAGGTGTATTGGATCCCCACCTGCGGCTGGAGTTACACAGGCAGCTGTGAACCAACCACCCAAAAAGGGTACTGGGAACCAAACTCAAGTCCCCTGCAAGCGCAGCACACTGAATTACTGACCCACTTCTCCAGCCCCTGTTGTGTAAGTTTCCTCCTCCACCCCAGAGAAGTCCTTTAAGTAGAAATGTAAACAACCCAAAGTAGCTTCAGAAAGTCCGGGAAACTGACTGGATCCACTAGGCCCCTCCCACACAGGGTAAGCAATAACAGATGAGAGTCCTTCCAAGACTAAATGGGCCAAGCTCAAAGAAGATTCTGAGGCCAGACCAGCTGCCTAGAAGAATCAGAAACCAGATGAGCTGTCTGGAAGAGGTTTAGACCAGAGCCACTTGGAAAGGACACTCTCCACCTGCTGAGCTGCCTGTGGGCTCCAGGCTTCCCAGCTTTTCCACTCATGTCATCCATGCTGGGCGGGCTTTGGTGATGTCGCTGTCTGAGTCATTTCTGCTCCTGTGAGTGACCCCTCATTTACACTCTTGGTTCACCAAGTTGGACTACGGTGGTGTCCGTACTTGGGTCTGCTGAGAGGTGAGTAGGCATGTGTGCTTTGTGTCCCCAAGAAGATTTGTCACATACAGCCCCTCAGTCTCTTATGGTTGTCTAAGATTTGGTGGGCAAGTATTGATCATAAGGTCACCTGGTCTCACATTTCCTTACTGAGTGGACGCTGGTGTCTGAAGAAAATTGTAGGTCTTCAGAGCCACTGTGGTGGCCTCCCCAACACACTGCTCACACTTGTGGTCGGCAAAGAGGACTAGTCTGAGGCTCTCCCTCCCAAAACATCCCCAGGAGACCCAGAGCCGAGAGCCGTGCTTGCCAGGATGAAGAGTCTGGAGGGGGGAGGGAGAGGGCAAGATCGAACCTGGGATGTGCAGGCTGCCAAAGCAATAGCCAGCAGTGCCGGCCACCACATGGGCTCCGCGGCCCGTGCACTGGACATCTCGGATGCGGCCGCCTGTGCCTGTGGTTGCCCCGCTGAAGGGGGCCACTCCTGCAAAGAGGAAGCAAAGGAGATACAGGTGACAGAGATAAACCCGTCCATAATGCCCTCCATGAAAGCAAGAACAACTCGGGCTCAGCCACAAGGCCTAGGACCCCTGTGCCCTCTTACTCTCTAAACTCACTTATCTATACTGGAACCCAACTCACCCGTGGGGAAGTTATGTGTCTCCGCCGTGAAGACAACGTGTCTAAGTCCCTGCTGTTGCCGGAAGCAGCTTGGTCGGGTAGGGTCCTCTGGCTGGAGGAACCGGACTTCCTTCCCCTGGATTGCACTATGGACACAGTCATTCTATACTGTTTCCCCCAAGAGCCATGCCAATCCAACAGGTCCAAAGCCTCCCTTTTCTCCCAAGACCCCATTAGCCTAGGGCATAGCCAACCTGCTGTTGTCACAGAACTTGAGGACATTGTTAGGGTTTGAGGATGCCTGAGTGCTCATGATGGATTCAAACAAGGAATGTGCAAGCTTCTTTCCATCCACATGGAGCTGGCCCTTGAAGAACCAGTGTCGGCTGTGCTCACTGCAGGAGTGACAGAGAGAAGGTACAGAGTGGGTCACTCTTCAGGGCTGCATCTCCTCAGCAGCACTCAGCCAATTCATACTGAGGTCAGGCGTCAAAGCACATTCCAGAAAATCACGACGTGTTCTGCCACTGTGGCTTGTTTAGAACCAAAGGTAAAAGCAAGATTTAACAGTACATTCCAAGAAGGGTAAGGAGGCCAGAGCCTCGAGAAACATGGGGAGAGTGCAGAAGGTGAGTTTCTGTGGTATTCCCCTCCAGCCTCTGGGGCCAACCCAGCAGACAACGGCACTCCCCCTCACCTATTGGACTGAGCCAGGTCAAAGGCCTCCACTGTACTGGGGTTCCGCTGTAGTTGTTGGAAGCGCTTGGTGTAGAAATCCAGGTCCCAGGAGTCAAGAGCCAAACCTGGGAGACAAACCCTGGAGAGCTGACAACATGCCTCAGGCCACCATGGTCTGTGTCTCCCGAGGATCCACGCCAGGCCCTTCCCCTTGTGTCCCGCGGACTCCTGCTCACCTAGCTCCTGGTTGGCCTTCTCCAGGGCAGATCGACCCTCTGCTAGGATGTTGATGGAGCCATTGAGCGGGGCTGGGACGCTTTGAGGGGAGAAGCTCTGGATGGGCTCGGGGTAGTGCTGCTCTGTCATCCGGTCATGCAAGGCAGCCAGAGAAATGGCTTCCATTTCAGCTGTGGGGTGGTTGGCAAACTAGCGGGAAGACACATACACATGAAGACAACAGACAAACTAGCGGGAAGACACATACATATAAAGACAATAGATGGAGTTGAAGAACAGAGAGAAAGCACTCACTTCTGGACCTCCAACTTATTGACCCCACTACCACCAAAGAGCACCATTTTCCCATTCTAGTGCAGACATCAAGGCCAGGGTTTGTATATACTAGGGAAATAACCTCCTGCTGAGCTATTCCTACTCAGACCCACAGAGCATCTTTGTTCATACTAAGGGGGAAAAAAAACACAAAAATTCCTCTTCTGGACATGAACGTGTGCCAGATGCACAGAGCAGTCTGAAGTCTAGCTGGTTCATTACCCTTCAGCCAGGCACCATCAAGCAGCAAACAGCCTCCCAAGCACACAGGGCAGGCCTGCAGCCAAGAGCGTTCCCCTGCTTCTCCCGTGACTTTGCTAGAACTTAGGACCTAACCTCTGGGCCGCCTGCTCCTCGACTTCCCAGCACAATGCCCACACCTCACCGAAAGCCGGTAGCGCCGGGTGCTCTCTACCCGATCCACGGCTCTCAGCCCAGCAGCCTGGCACACAGAAACAATGTTGGTGGAGACTGGAGTGGAGAAGTTCAGCCTGAGGAAAGAGTCACAGAGTCATGAGACCTTGGAAAGCATCAGCTGGGAGGATGGACCTTGCCCACTGCTGTCTACCCAACACACACTACTAGCCCTTCACCACTGGCCTCCTGCCTCAGCCTGGGTGCCACGGAAACCCGCTTTTAAAAACTGATCAGAGGCTGGAAAGATGGCTCAGTGGTTAAGAGAGGACACTGCTCCTCAAGAGGACCCAAGTTTGGTTCCTTGCACCCATGTTAGGAGGCTCACAACTGCCTGAAACGCTAGCTCTAGTGGGGCCCACGCCTCCAGCCTCTGCAGGCCCCTGCCCTCGGGTGCATGGTGCACGTGCCCTACAGAAACCCGGTATGGGAAACTTAGCAAGATCAAGACTCAAAAGAAAAGCTCTTCCACGGTACAGTGCTTTCTCAGGTGCAGTAAGTCCTACGGCCAACCCTAAGGAACAAAGAGAAACCACCACAGTTTCATCTTCTCATGTGCCTTGGAACACGGGAGCAAGTTGCCCAGAATGCCACATACCTGGGTCCCACCTCCAGCAACAAGTCATTGGAGCCAGGAACGAGCCAGGACTCCTGAGCCACATCATTCACCAACAGAGGGCAGCCAAACAGCCACATCAACTTCTTCATGTCCTCAGCCCCTGGCGGGGTCTTGGCTGCAGAAAGGACAAGAGCACCTCAAGACACCGCCTCATGTACCGATCCCCTCCTTTAAGAAGCAACACCCAGCGAAGGGCATGGTGGCCCGCGCCTTTAGTCTCAGACTCAGGAGACAGGTACAGGAGGATCTCTGTGAGTTCTAGGCCAGCCTGGTCTACAGGCAGCCAGGACTAGACAGATCTACAACAAATTAATTAACTAAAAGCAAGACAACAACAACAAACAGAATCCAACAGCTAGGGGATGAGATGGACTCAGCAGTGAAAAGAACCGGCTGCTCTTGCCGAGGACCTGGGCTGGATTCCCAGCACTCACATGGCGGCTCACAACCATCTGTATCTCCAGCTCCAGGGAATCCACACACTCTTGGGGCCTCTACAACACCAGGCACACAGGGTACACAGACAAGCAGGTAAAATACAAACACAACCAAAGTATCTGCAGCCATTTCTGACAACCCGAGTACGATCCAAGGGAGCCAAATGGTGGAAGAGTCATCTTACTTCCACACCTGAGGGCCTGTACAGACACACACAGACACGCACACAAGTGCATGCACACAAAAGAAAATCAAACAGGAAGTTAGAGAGACGGCTTAGGTTAGTATCCCAGCCTGCTCTTAGAGAAGACCCAGAGTCCCAGCACCCACATCAGAAGGTCGCTTCTATCCCTAGCTCCTGGGGATCCAAAGCTGCTTCTGCATTCTTACACTTGTGTGCACATGCACACACAGATACATACATACATGCGCAATCACAAATAATGTATTAAAAACAAAACAAAAAAAATCTAACATCAGACAGCAGGGGAGAGGAGCCAAGCCAATGGGGCGGCACTCGGAGGCGAGGGCAGCAGAGTCAGGAGTTTAAGGTTGTCCCCGCCACAGACATAGTTCGGGACCAGTCCTGGCTATGTGACACTCGGACTCAAGCAACCAAGAAAACAAGACACAACTCAAAGCCGACACTGGCCCAACCTGCCCAGTGCACGTTGTAGCACAGCTCCGTCTCCACACCCAGAAGCTGTGGCAGTTTCTCTCGCAGCTTCCGAAGAACACGCTCAGAGGCTGCACCCTTGTGGCCAAAGGGGCGGACGTAGAAGTGAAGGACGGGGGCCATTTCTGCAGGTGACCTTCCAGGGACCAATTAAGTTCCTAAAAAAAAAGTTTTCAAGTTCCACCAACAGCCTGGACACTGGAGATAGAGAAGGGCATCAGAAAAAGGTAACCCCGGTGATCTTTTTTTTTTTTTTCCAAATCCTGCAAAATGTAGGCTTTTTAGGCTGGGAGAGCATGATTCAGCAGTACAACCATTTCTTAGCCCTGGGCACAACCTCCAGACATGAAAACACACCCATCATTGGGTATTCAAAATGTGGGGAAGGGGCATGTAGGCGCTTCCTTAGAACCCAGGCAAGGTCTCAAAGAATGCTACTCTGAACAGATAGATCAGACAATTTCAAGTCAGTGGGCTGACACTAAGGGAGAGGGACAGCAACCTGACAGTTTGGCATTAGGAAAATTGAACTGAACTGCCTACATTCATATGCGGAAGCCCTAATTCCCAATATGACAATATTCGCACAGGGGTCCTTAGGAGTATGAGGGTGATACCCTAATGAATGGGATTAGTGTCCTTTAAGCTAGATGTTGGTTCTAGACCCAAGACAAGGGGCTGAGATGCATATTTAACATACCAAAGCAGACCAGCCTCCAGGTTCTCCAAGTATACCCTTGGTCCCTCCCTCCCTGTCACAGGGCATGGCTGGCAGGCTCTGCCCTCTGCCCAGGAGCTGGGCTTCCCTCCCTCTTCCTGCATTTTCTCTCTCCCTGCCTGCACACTCCTCTTGCTCCTCCTCTCTGTCCCTCCCCATGGCGACTTCCTTGGCCTCCTTCTTTGGGATCAGTGAATCCATCCAAGAGCTGCACCCAATAAACTCGACTTTATGCTTCAATCTGACTTGAACTAGCTCACTTTGTCACTGGAGAAAGCCTATTTCTAGAGAGTTAGGTCTCTTCTACCATACACAAATGCAAGGTCAGGGTGAAATCTGAAGTGTTTCTACAAGAAAATGACTGTAAGAAGGAACCAAACTGAAGCCATTTTGAATAAAACTTCCATTTTGAATAGGGGTCAAAAAAAGATTTAAGTTCCCAAGACCTTCCTGGGTGACCGACATCCTGAATAACCAACCAATGGGACCAGGATAAGTGAACCACAAAGACATGTTCCTAAGGAAGTCCCCTGTCTCTAAATCCTGATTGGTGGGAAAATGTAACTGTAACTTGGCATAGATGCTTGTGGATTTGAGGCTTAAAAACTGTTATTTTGGCTTGGGTTGCAGTTCAGCTCCCGAGTCTGATCTATGGCCCTCAGCAGTCAGTAATGGCCTGAATATAATAAATTTTTGTGATCTACTTAAATACTTACTAAGATAAATGTTTGCCAGTTGGTGGTAGCACATGCCTTTAATACCAGCACTAGGGAGGTTGACGTAGGCGGATCTCTGTAAGTTTAAGGCCAGCCTGGTCTACAGATGAGTTCCAGGATAGCCAAGGCTAAAACAGGGAAACCCTTTCCCGAAAAACCAAACCAAAACCAAAAGATGAACATTATAATCCAGTCAGCTCCCGAGTCTATGCTGTTGACCCTGACGCCTAATTCAAATAGAGATCTTGCTTTGCTGGACTTTGTGACCACTTGGGTTTTGGATTTTCGGACATCAATGTGCCCATGCTGGCACTCTGATCTCCGATATCCGACCCCTGGAACTATGAGGAGTTCTGTGGTTCATGAGCCACACAGTGTACAGCACTTTGTTACAGCAGTATCTAAGGCACACTTCTGGAGGATGAAGATGGACTAAACCTGGTGCTGGCATCAAGTAGCAGACCCCCTGACTCACTGTTTTCAAAATATCCAAAGCCTGATAGAGTCCTTTCTAACCTCTGACACCGTGTCTCAGCAGGAACACGCCTTTCCTCACCAACTTTATGTCTCTCTCTTCAAGATCAGCACATCACCCCAACCCTGGGATATTCTCACTGTCCAGTGCTCACAACATCTGCCTTCAAGAAAGCTCACTCAGAGCTCTAACCTGCACTATTCATTTCAGCCCACACACTGGCTCACAGGGAAGCAGGAAGGAAAGTTTTACTATTGCTTATCTCTACTTGTATGACTTAACTCATTCAAAACTGAATTTTGCACACACCTTTAATTTCAGCAACCTGGAGGCAAACACAAGTGGATCACTGAGTTCAAGGCCAGCCTGGTCTACAGAGTTCCAGAGAAACCCTAAAAAAGCCAAAAAACAAACAAAAGCAAAACGGGGTCTCTTTTAGCCCAGGGTGACCTCTCACTCACTGTGTAACTGAAGATGACCTTGAATTTCTAATCCTCCTACTCCCGCAAGCCTCTCGAGAGCTTTAATTTCAGATGCTCTTCACAACACCTGGCTGATAAGGTCGTAGGACTCGAACCCAGGGCCCCAGGCCGGGCAAACATTCTAGAGCTACACCTCCAGCCCTCTGGACTTTTAAATTAAGATTTTCGCCTTCCATTCCCAGCAAAAGCTAAGGTCCAGGAATAACGGGACCGGGTTTTACTTCGGGGCTGTATTCCCAACGGCTGGTATGGTGCCTGATACAAGGCAGGCGGCCGACACGTCTCCTGACGGACGGACGGACGGACGGGACTGTGAAAGGAGGCTATTTCAACCCGGCCGGCCACCTCCACCGAGGGTCCGCGGGACACGTGCTCCGGCGGACGGATGCTCTACCTCCGGCCCGCGGGCCCACGTGGACCCGCCCCGGCCCCACGGGGACACCGACGCAGCCCGGCCCCGGTTCGAGTGCGTGATCATCGGAACCGCACCGGGGAGCGAACTCAGGGAGGGACGCGCAAGCTCTACTCACGGGAAGCCGTCCGGGCGGCGCCACAGCTCCACGAAGCTTGGCGCGCTTTGCGTCATCCGCGAGCGCCGGAGTCCTGCTTCTGCGACCCCGGGCGACCACGCCCCTTGCGGGCGGGGCCTCCGCGCACTCCCCCGCGTGATTTGGGTCCTCCCGAGTCTGTCTTCTTCTTTTTCTTTCTGTCTTCTTTCCTTCTTCTTTAATGAATGAGTTCAGGGAAACACAGCAAGGATTTTTTTCCCTCTTAAATGTTTGCCGTGCTGGGACCTGAACCTAGAGCGTTAGCGGTTCTCAACCTTCCTCATGCCGCACCCCTTTAATACAGTTCCTCCTGTTGACCTCCAAGGATAGAATATTTTTGCTGCTACTTCGTAACTACAAAGTAAATAAACATCTGCGTTTTCCCATGGCCTTAGGTGACCCCTGTGAAAGGGTTCTTTGACTCCAAAGAGGTCGCGACCCACAAGTTGAGAGCCTCTGACTTGGAGCCTTGCGAGTGCTAAGCACGGAATTCTCTCATTGGCTGTATTAGCTGTGCCACCGCGGAGGGACAGTGTCGTGGACAGAAAGCTCAGGTGTGAAAGCATCTGTTCACACCTTGCAGCCGCAGCCAGGAAGCAGAGATGCATGCTGCTGTCCTCCCGGCTCCGTTTTATTAAGTCCGGGCTTCGGGCCTCGTGAAATTGCGTAGCAATTGCGCTTCCCACCTCTTCATGTATCTGGAAACGTCCTAATGTAGAGGATCAGAAATTTGTCTCCAGTGATTCAAAATCTTCTCAAGTTCATAGTCAAGATTAACCTGTACACCCCTCTTAAAAAAGAAAGAAAGAAAGAAAGAAAGAACGAAAGAAAGAACGAGGGGGTGAGGTGGAGCTGGAGAGATGGCCAGCAGTTAAGAGCAGCGGCTGTTTTCCCAGAGGGCCCAGGTTCCATTCTCTTAAGCCAATACAATAATTTATTTTAATTTTATGTTTATTGGTGGTTTGCCTGCATGTCTGTTTGAAGGTGTCAGAAGCTCTAGAGCTGGAGTTGCAGATGTGAGCTGCCATGTGGGTGCTGGGAATTGAACCCTGGTTCTCTGGAAGAGCATCCAGTTCTCTTAACCACTGAGCCATCCCTCCAGCCCCCCCCCCCCCCCCCCAGGTTCCATTTCCACAATTTATTGGCTCACAACTGTCTGCAACTCTAGTTTCAGGGGATTAGACACTCTCTTCTGGCTTCTCTGGGCACCAGGCACAGTGCACAGAAATATATCCTGGCAAAACACTTAAAATAATAAAATAAATAAATCTTTAAAAAACAACAAACCAGCCGGGGCTCCATGAGAAACCCTGTCTGAAAAAATGAACGGTTTGGAAACATTTATTAAGCATCCCAGTAGGTGGCACTCTTTGATGCTTAATATTTTTAGCATATATGGCAAGTTTGCTGTTGTATAGCTGTTTCCTTCAGAATTCAACAGTCTAAACTGAAGGGAGGCTCATGAAACTAACAAGAAGCTCATTAGAGTCACAAGGCATCTCTGAGTTTATGTAAGTCGTAAGCAATCGCTGGGGGAACGGAAAATGCACAGGGGCTTCAGTAACACATTCCTCACACACGTCAGCCATGCTGGGTGGACCTCTTGCTAATTTAACACAACTGCTTCTACAATAGCTCTAATAACTTCACTGGCTCACCAGCCGGACCTGCCTTCTCTCTCTGTGATGACGAGAAATAGACTCCAGCAAAAATCCTGCGAGGCTTGTTATCCCAACAGGGACTGACAGAATCAAAGATGAGTCTTCCAACAGCCTTGCTTCCTGTTCACCCTAACGGTTGATGTACCTTGGTAGGACCCAAAAAGTCTTGGCTGTTCAATTCCCTCTGGTTCACACCTGGGAAAATCCTCAAAAGTTGGTCTAGCCAGATGGTCTCCTGCCCTCCCCTCCCCCTTCTTCAGCCATCTTGGAGAACATAACCATTCATCATCAGGCCCCTCGCTTCTGAGAACATCTGTCTTCCGTAGCTGTCCTAGTCTGAGTTTCTATTTCTGTGACGAAAATATCATGACCAAAAACCAAGTTGGAGAAGAAAGGGTTTTACTCAGTTTACACTCCCATATCTGTTCACAGCTGCAGTCTTACCCCGGAGGGTGAAGGAGCTCCCGGCGCTGCAGGCAGGCAGCTGGGGGCGCCTTGTCTCTCTCCTTCTACCATGCTGCAGCGACCTGTCCCGCCGCCAACATTAACGTTACCTGAGGCTCAGGTCACACCCGTGGGATGGTGGGGCCGATCCGGTAATACTGTCAGTGTCGCTGTAGTCTAAAGCCATCTTTTCTGTCTACGATCCATCAAAGGTGAACCCCAGGTTACAGGGCACGTTGTCATAGACAGAATAAATGGAGGGATTCTGCCAGAGACGGGGAAATGCGGGAAGCAAAGGAATGATTAATTTTGATAGGTGTCCTGGTAAGGAGGCCAGCGTAGCTGCAGTAGAGTAAGAGAGGCTTCAACATCGGAGAGGGATTTCTTGGTTTGGAGAAAAGAGAAAAAGTACACACCTCTGACATAATATGGGGAATAACTTTGATGAAACATTTAGGGTTTTTTTTATTTGTTTTTGTTTTTCCAGACAGGATTTCTATGTGTAGCTCTGGTTGTCCTGGAACTTGCTGCGTAGACCAGGGCAGCCTTGAACTCACAAAGCTGTCTGCCTCTGTCTCCCAAGTGCTGGGATTAAAGGTGTGCACTGCCACACCCGGCTGAAACATTCAGTTTATGTTCGATGGTTTTGTGGGGTTTGTTTGGTTTTGTTAGATGCAGGTGATCTTGTAACGGGGCTCCTGGTCCTCCTGTGTCCACCAGTGCTGATGACAGCGCCCACAATCGTACCAGCTCATAGTCGGAGACAAAGCTTTCACTGTCTGGCCTAAGCTGTCCTGCTCGTCTTCTGCCTCCGCCCCCTCAGTAGCTGAAACTACAGGCACATACCCCCACACCGGCTCCAAAATTTTATCTTATAAAGAACTTATGCGCCTGTCGTGGGGACGCAAGCCTGCAATCTCAGCCCCTGGGAAGAGAAGACAGGAGGATCAGGGGGTTCCTCTCACCCTTGGCCAATTAGCAAACTCAAGATCCAGTAAGGGGTTCAATGACAACACCTGACTCAAAACAGTAACAAAACCAACAGAAACAGACAAAAAACTTCCACAACTTGTTATTGCAGGAGGTGCTAATTATTGACCTAGGAGGCTCCATTTTGTTTTTAAGTGGACGCTGGATTTTTGTTTGTTTCCTTTTTTCCCTTCCTTATGAAGCTCCTGGGTTTTTCTTCCATTTGATTACTTTGAACTTCAGAAACAAGAGCCCTGCCGGATGAACATCTTAAAAGAAAGTAATAAAAGTACCTCTTAGACAACAGGCTATCTTATGCTACATCTTTCCAGTTGGGGCTATGCCATTCGGGTTGGCCAACCTTTCTATCTATGAACGCTCAAAGGTGTTGCCCTAGCTCCTCCTCCATCGCCACACTGCATCTTTCATGAGGTAAGAAACAGTTTGCGTCAAAGTGAAGTTGAATGAAGGGCTACAGTAATTTGTAGGTTTAATACTTTGTTGTTGTTTTATGTTGCTCAGGCTGGCTTTAAACTCATGACACCATGAAGATCCTCCTGCCTCGGCCGCCTGAATGCTGTGATTGCAGGCACCACCACACCTGGCTCCGCATCTTTCTTTCTTTTCATGTGTACGAGCGTTTGGCCGGCATGCGTGTGTGCGCGCCACACCTGCGCAGCTGCTCTGGGAGGCCGAGAGGCTTTGGGTCGCCCATATTACTCACATTCTGTAGACTTTGCCCGTCTTCCCGTCACTCTCCCTGTCTGAGGTGGAGGCGGGTTTTGTTGTTGTTTTCAAAGCCTGTGCCCGGAGCCGGGACTGCTTCGTGACGTCACAAGCTCCCTCCCGTGAGCCCTCGCGCCGGGCGTTCGCGCGTCCTTCGGTAGGGGTTTGGCTCGCCATGGCCGCCTGCCGAGCGCCGGCGTCCGCCTCCGTGAGTGCCGAGTGTGGGGTCCTCGTGGGGTTTTTCTTTGGTCTCTCCTCCGCGTCCCAGGCGTTCTGTGTCCCTGCCTCCACCCGGCGTCCGTGGTGGCCGACGCGGCGGCCGGGGCTCTTCGGGCCGTTGGTCCGCCCGGGGCGCGCTCGGCGGGGGACCCCTGGCGAGGCTGGGCGGGGAAGGTGCGTGGGCGAGCTGGCCGGCCGCAGCGACAGCCTGGTGAAAGCCTGAAGGCCCCTGGGCGGAGGTGGAGGGTCAGAGGGAGCGCGGGCGCCTCGTCGTGTCCACGCCGCGAACCCCCGGTGCCTGCGGTGCAGGGATGAGTCACTCCCTCGGCTGGCCTCGACAGGCCTCGGCCTCCCGCGGGCGGTCACAGCGCTGTCACGCCTCACACCGACTGGCCCTTTATGGACAGCAGTGAGTGGATGAGATTTGGGTTATACTTTACTGAAGGGGTAGTGTTGAGCTGCAAGACCGCGGGCTGGGCGCGCGCCTCTAGTTCCAGTGCACAGAGGCAGGGGGATCTCGCCGAGTTCGAGGCCAGTCTACCGTAGGGAGTTCTGTGACAGTTACATGACAGCCGGGTCTGCGGAGAGAAGCCCGGTCTCAAAGGACAAACCAACCAAAACAGAGTGAGGCGATAGGATGTAACGGACTGGGAGTCGTGAAAGGCGGGAACCAGTTGTGCGGTCAGGGATTCAGGCCGGAGCAGCCAGGCAATGCACACGGCCTTAGCTCTGGTTGTGAAGAGGACCTGTGAAGTGTGTGGCCAGGTAGGCTGTGATGGCCAGACTGATGGGGCCAGATCTCAGGCTGGAGAACTCAGCTAGAGTAGACGTGAGGGCAACAGTCATCTGTCAAAGGCTGTTGAAGGTAGGCAGGCCAGCAGGGGTGCTGGTCCAAGCCTTTCACCCCAGCATTTCCGGAGGCAGAGGCAGGCCTAGGCACCCCAAGTCCCAGGGCAGCAGGGCTGCAGAGTGCGACCCTGTTTAAAAACCATAAGAGGGTAGGCAGTTCAAGTATTTGAGGGTAAAGGGCG